TTTTGTTTTCAACTACGTTTAGTCTTCATTGAGTACTTAGGTGTATTAAATTGATAACATTTCAGACATTGTTATAAATATTTTTATCTATTTCGATTTTAAAAATGTTCGAACCGTTTTAAATTCGAATTTGTTATTGCATATTAGTTCGATTATAGAACGATTGTAAATGCTCCAGAAAATTGATCAAATTGAAAATGGTTCGTTTAATTCTCGGCAAATCTCTTCAGCGGTAGGTGTTATATAGATCTAACAATTACTATGGTTATTGAAATATTGAATGTAAATGGGGTTTGCTTGCAAAACCTCTGCGGACGAAGTCGCGGGTAACAGCTAGTAATAATATAAACCTTTTGCATACCATGCGCCAATTTTTTGATAGACGAGTTCACATGCGCAGTGGCGTACCGTGAGTGTTAGCAGCCCGGGGCGGAGAAAAATTTCGGCCACCCCTTATTCAGGTATTTCAATTTATAAGACGAAAATTCAGATTTGCCACAGAACAAGCAATGACAAATGCGGTTGTAGTGTAACTTCCCGTATAAAACAGTTCTATATGACATCAGTGGTGTACATGAACACATGAACACGAATGCATCGCGTAACGAACAAGCAAAAAAAAACAAAGGTCAACAGGTCGATTGCACCGAATTGTGTAAGAAATACACTTGCCAAGACACACTGTAAAAACTTAATTCCCTATGTAATATTCATAATTGCAATGAAGCCAAATCTGGTAATGTTGCTCGGAACCGACTGAAGCGCCACTTGTAGTCGTCCAATGTGCCAAGTCTGGCGCATGCGCCACGTTTTGGCCACCCCTGATATAAACAGACAATTGCGACAAGTTGTTAACTAAATTGTGTATTACAAAAACAAAATGATGGAAAAATTATAATATTTAAGTGTTTTATTAATTTTATTTTATAATTTGTATTCTATGCACATGAATATGAAATTAGCATTTGGTAGAGGTTAATGTAAAGATGAAGAATACCATCTTTGTATTGTAAAAAAGTTACTGTATTTTTTCAAAAGAGTGCACAGATATATAGAGATATAAAATGCAAAAAAAAAAAGTTACTTAATTTAACGCGTCCAGACAACATCAGTTTGTTGTTGTGGGATGCATTAAATTAAATAGTAGCGATGGGGATTCGCCTCCATACTGCTCTTTACCTAATATGCAACGATGTTTATCGAGTCTGCTTTGCTGCTTTATTCGACGACTAACATTGTTTACAATTCGTTGGTTTTCTATTTTTATATACGAGAGGAATGTAAATATTGTTTTGGATATAGGTAATCATCCCTATCATCTTCCCGGAGCTTTCCTTGAAATCATTGTTCCTATTGTAGCTCGGTAGAATTGATTCGTAGTTATCTCAAGAGAATGCTCAATTAATGTTAAAGAACATTCATCAAGAATAAGTTTAACTTTTATATAAATTATTCTAATCTCCCAATTATATTTCTAATTTCTTGAAATTCGTTTCCAATATTTTAAAAGATCTCGTCGAAGAATGATTAAAGATTGTTTCTATATTTTAATTTAGGATTTGTTTGGTTGAAATTTTTTATAAATCTAATTTAAGGTACGATGCGTATAATTTCTATAAGGCGCCCACAAACATGTGTGTAAAAGCAAAAGAGATATTTCTAGTATTCATGAGTGTATACATGTAATGCATTCTTATTTCATAGATAGAATTTTATTGAACATGTCTCTCGGTTATTTTAGCATTGGAACAATAAACTTTTCCTTGAAAATTTACAGTTTGTTTCTTTAAGTAAATTATTACATTATTTTGAAATTTCGTTGTTGACTTTCACCGAAAAAGTATTAATTAAATTTAATTATATTAAGTATAGTTAAGTAACACTTTACAACTTTCATCAATCATCATTTATTGTATAATTAATTTTAAAAAA